TATGCGGGAGTACGAATCATCACTAACACATAGTTTTTTTTTAAAGCTTAATAATTGATAATTAATTGATAAATAAACATCTATAACTAACATTTAATTCTGCCACCCAGTAGAGGTGCGATGTAATTATCTATAAAACATGTATTGTTAGATTTCACCCGTGCGTATCACTCAGCCTTAATCTTTAATCAAGGCACTTACATATGTACGTAGTAAAGACAACACTGTTACATATTATTTCAATTTTATTAACAGTTCAACATTTTCACTATTCTAACTGACAACTGATTTAGATTCAGAGGGATATAAACAAACTGCAGTAGATACTACTCTGTACTCTACTCAAAACATACCTAAGAACGAACACCTGTCAAAGGGCTTCTATTTTTACATGAATGTTAAGGATGCAACTTGAAATCACTTGAATAAATCACTCGAGTAAAGACTCATGTATTTTTCAAATATTTAATGAAAAGAAATAAAGAAAGGAAACACGAGAAAGAAAGAAGAAAATTTATCTGAATGCGTAACATTGCAAATCGTACAACATTGTCTTCTAATCGGTTCAATACTGTGTTTCGTTTTATTTAATCGGGTTCAGAATCGACACAATACGCAGGAAAAATACTTGCAGTGCTGAAACATTTTTTTGTATAATTTTTCCTTTCCTCGATTTCAAACGACCGCGATTTGCCAAAGTTGAACAAATCGCGATCTTTTCCGAACGCGATTTTAACCTGTTGTACAGTATACAGTGGCTCCTCGTTTATCCGGACGCCTCTGTCCCCAACGACATCGTCTGGATAAATGAATCGTCCGGATAATTAAATCACTTCTCAAAAAACGAGTATGTATGTATATATGCACTTTCTTGTATCAAATGTGACGGCAAAGAAAAGAAACTTTAATATTTAGGTTTATTGTTTTTTTATATGTTTAAAAAGAAGTAATTAATTAAAAAAATATATAAAATATAATTTATACAATAAAAAATGGATAGGTTATATTATGATGAGACCTCCTTTTTAAACACAGTGTATTTTATTCGCCTTCTCTTTGGCATGTGACCTCATGGGCTGAGCAAAATTTGATCTACTGTTGTTTTATTTCGCCATATATAATAATAATTGAAGCTCAAATGATATGACAGAACTGTTCAACATCGTCTTTCAAAATGTTCAAATATAAACTAACCCCGTATATTCATTACACAGGGTTACTATAAAATTAACTGAACACTGCAAGCTATTAAAAACATTCAACGTAAACACATACAAGCCATCTTCATAAGGCTAATTGAATTCGGCGCGTCGGCGCGCTCGCGCAACAGATTTTGTTTATAAAATAAATTATCGCTTATACAATATTGTTAGCATCGGGCTCGATATCATAAATAATCAAAGTACTGAGAAGTACAGAGAGCCGGGCTCATTTACAGAGAAGTGAACAAGTCCGTTTTACATGAAACATACATTGTAATTACAGATGAATAACAACAAGACACTGGAAGAATATGTAACACAAAAATATATTTATGGCATATAGTATAAATAAAAAAATGTTTAAAAGATAAAATAAAATAAAATGCAGTTTGAATTTACATTGATGCAGCAAGGTCAAACGTTTATACACAGACGGGTCCTCAGCGGGGAGTTTTGCATAAAGGTGTGCATCGGGTCACATGCTCCCCGCATTAGCCTGGTAACACAACCTTTATCTATAGAATGTGAAGCTGGCAGACTTGATGAAATTACCTATCGCATCTTTTAAACAAATAATTTATTGAAGAAAAGGGGAGAAAGTATATTATCAATTTTTTTTTTTTTTTTTTTAGAGAATTTCTTAGTTAAATTAAATTTGTTTAATTAAGTGTTTGTATTGCTTCAAAGGTGGTTGAGCATACGTACTTTATTCTTACTCATATTTAATTTGGCGGTGAGGAAGCAGTATTTCCGGTTGAACACCGTAACATAAACCGGCTATTGCTCTACGAGCAATGCGCTCGGCTAAAAAGAGAAAGTTTTATAGATGGAATTTTGTTTTTGAAGCTTCAACATCACTTGTTTGCACAGGGTCCGTTCGCCTTATTTATATTGCAGAAATTGAATAATTAACCAATGGATTTTTTAAATAAATTATATGTACATTGGTACATAAATTGCACACGGGAGACAACAGACGAATGCATGTGGTCACACTATACCGGTAATTTATACCTGTACTAATCAAAGACCCAGCAGACCAACAGAAATTAACATCTCAGTCCTTTAATTGAACATAACGCAGATTGTATGATCCCCTAAATTACAGTAACATTATTAAGTATAATTAAATCAATTAAGCATGTAAAGAGCATAAATATCAAATTTGAATTACTTCATTAAGATTACGGTTAATAAAAAAAATACTGTAGCAACATTTGAAAAAAACACCAAGTAAAATATTTAATAAAATTAATAATAAATGTTGATATTTACTATATACTGTATATATAATAGGGCGAACAAGAATAATGGCGAACGGACCCTGCGCGAACGGATTCATGCGAACAGGTAGATAGGGCGAACGAACCTGATACCATTATTTAACCGCCTGTTGTTTCTTTTATTCATATTCTTTTATCCACTAATTAATACACTAGTTTTATCAATTTTCAATGGCATCAATTTTTGTGCAATCAGCGAATGATTCAGTATTTCGTAAACACAGGTCATCATAAACCTTTTTGGTATGCTTCTTACTTTAATGACCATCAAATTCTATTTTAATTTTCACTTTGCAAAACAAAAAAAAAAAAAATAAATAAAAAAAAAAAATAATGTTTAAGGAATGTTGATGGAACCATTGTAGATGTATTTTATATGATTGGATTTGTAATGAGCTTAGTGGTTGAGAAGACTACAATATGGGGAGGCAGGACTTTATGTATCTGTAACTAAAGTTACTCCCCCTGCTCAAATAAAGAACAAGCTAATTTTTAGTAGTAGTAATATTTTAATACGTAACAAGGAATATTTGTCAAACACTGATACCAATGTTTTGCAGCTTATTGCCATGATAATCAAGTCTCTAAAAAGGGGGTTAAACTCTAGAGTCTAGGGTCATTACGTAATACAGGTAAATTTTTATTATACATAAAGAAAATTTATAAAAACCAAAGCACTAAATATTTTTAAATGCTATACATGTATATAGTTAATGTCTAGGGTCATTACGTAATACCGGTAAATTTTTGTTATACATAAAGAAAATTTATAAAAACAAAAGCACTAAATATTTTTAAATGCTATACATGTATATAGTTAATGTTTGGAGAGAGAGAGAGAAATCGAAAGTATAGGCCAACTCAAAAAATTGGGGTATTTCGGATTACTCTAGCACAAATTGTGGTAAGGCATGCATGGATCAAATGGGATCCGGATCCCTGGAAAATTCAAATTTATTTGAACTGACATAGTAAAATTACTAAAGCTATGCCTCGGACCTCTTCCCCTTGCGATTTGAGCCAACACCTCCTAGGGAAAAATTTCTGGATCCACCCAACAAAAAAATACAATCGGGCTCGGGCTGTCGACTTGAATATAACCGATAATGCTTAAATTATAAAGAAAATCGATGTCATTTGAGTGTTTTAATGCAGGGAGAAAATACTTTTGTGATATCGGGTTGAGATGGACGCGCTGGCGCGCCGACGCGCCGAATACAATTAGCCCTTCATAATTATCAAAAAATTTTCTATAGATTCGAAGTTTGAATTTCGATCATTAAAAAGCACCTTGAAAAACGTAATCAACTTCTAGTTTTATATTTCTTTCCTAAAGTAACACGAGTAATGTACGTTTACAGACGGTAGTACATTAAATAGAAAGATGTTTCTTCAATAATGTACTTTTCTAAACTGTGTTGTGGGGGGAAAAGCGTTTCAAATACATTTACAAGTACATTTCAAGAAATGGAAAATCGTATTTTAAACTAAAGCAATCAACTTGATAAAAGAGCATTACGAAATCGCTCTTAATTTATTGTTCATTTTATTTACAACTCTCGAAATTTCTCATGAATTTATCGATGTTTATACGGTTAGCAATATGATTTTTAATGGATTATTATTTAATTAATGCACAGTGTAAGCTTAATTCTTCGAGGTTCATAATAAACGAGTGATTTAATTGGGGGTAAACACAAGCTAATTATAGACGCTATTGTTTGTAGGTCACAGGTAATTACCATCAAACTGACTGCATGGCCAATGTTTTATAACAATTTACACTACTGCAAGATAAGTGTGAAAAAGTCGTTTCTTGAAAAATTGCCGTCCGGATAAATGAGTCATTTTTCAATGAACTATTACGTTTTATAGTAAAATTCGACCGTCCGGATGCGGAACGCGAATTTCCGGATTAATGAGACATAACGGAAAAAAATCGGTTCCCAAAAAATATCGTCCGGATGGTGAAGCGTCCGTATTAGTCCGTATTAGTGATGGGAAATTGGAAAAAAAATCATAATCGATTATCGGAAATAATCGGACACACATAATCAATTATAATCGAAATATTATATGTATGAATTTTTTTCTCAATTAAAATGTCAAAATCATTTTAAATAAGAGAAGCTGAGAACAGAATTTGTATTCTTCCTTCTATAATTGCTCCAAAAGTATGAGTAAAAAAATCTCAATATAACAAGCAATATAAATATAATTTTTTAAAATTTAATAATCATAATGGGAATGCTCATGCAAAATGTGATGTACAACAGTACAAGTAACACTGTCCATTCACAACCAAAGTTCAAGAAATATACCAATGCAAATGAGTATATTTGAAATGACTAGATTTGATCGTTAATACTAGTAATTCCTTATTTACATAATCTCTAAAAAATGATCAATAAGACATTACTAGAGTTATTGCATGCATAAAAATCAAGACTTTCTATGAGCTAAGATAATGACTAGAACTAGAAATTTGGTCTATTAAACTGTTTAGATCAGTATACTATAGTTTGGTCAGAATTTGATTTTGCATGGAAAAGCCCCTCTCACAACCAGCAGTGTGCACGGCTGAGGTAAGGGCCAGTTGTGCTAATACAATCAGATTAGGGAATTGTTCCTTGTGATAAGTGACAATCAAATTCCACAACTTCCAAAAACAATCTCGAGGATAATGTTCAGCAAGAACTACTCTTTTTAAGAAGTTCCACTCTTCCTTGGTCTTTTCTGCTGAAATAACAGCTTCACTTGAATTCTTATGATTGCCTTTTTCATCACTCCACTCAACAGTTCTTCTTTCCCCATGAAATTTACACAGTGTGTTAATCTCTTCCTCACCAAAGTTGATTAACTCCTCATTGCTAAGAAAACTTATAGGTCTTAAAGCAAGGATGCTGAATGCAGTATAAGATCAGTGGAAGGAAACCTAATTTAAAAAAGTAAAATTATAGAAATAAATTGTCATGTTAGTGATAAAGCCACAATAAAGATTGGTAATTTCTTAAGTTAAATTTACATCAATACATCATGTGCTTTGACTTGTGTAATAACCTTGCTATGATGTTTTCCTTCAGGGCATCAATAAAATCTGCTGTTAGGTTGTTTAAGTTCAAATTTGTTTTCTTTATGGAATGCCCCTGAAAAAATCCTGTTTGGACGTCCATCTCTTCCTTCACAGCTTGTAGATGAGGAGATCCCATGCTTTTAATTTTCTCAAGGTCAGAGAGGCACAAATCTATCTTCACCTGTGAGGATTCAAACATTTATTGTTAAGCTTTCATAAATGTATATTTCATAAAATTTCATAAATTCCATTCTATTGGTTAATAAAAAAAATTTACCTTTACAAGAGCTAAATCCACATTTTCTGTTTGAAAGAACTGTGACAGAATAGTTACTGGTGCCATGGCATCCATCATCATGTATGTAATTGAAATGAAGGATTCACTTGCAATCTATAAAATTAAATCAAAAGGAAAAAAAATTAAAGATTTTTCTTAGGTCATTGTAAACTTGTAAAGTATTATAATTTCTGATAATCAGATTATGTATAAACAAATTGACAAAAGCTATAAATCTGAACTTTCAAAAGTGTATTATATATATATATATATATATATATATATATATATATATATGTACATGCATTTGTCCAGCTGAAGTTGAACTACCTTTTTCCTCAAACCAGCAGCTTTAGCATCCTTATTCCCATCCGCCTCAGCAAGATATGTTAGGAGACTGTCTACGGTTCTCTGGACAGTTGACAGGGCACTAAAGTAAGACAACCACCTTACAGAGTTGATTTCTTTAATTGTAAGGCAAGGATCATCCAAGATGTTTTGAATTTCTTTGAGTTTTGACTGTCGTTTACTGCTGCCCTGTAGCATATAAATGATTAGGTATTAAATTTACAAATTATAGTTTACTAATATATACTAATTATTTAAAAAAATAAACTTAAATATTTAGAGATACAAGTTACTGTTTTTACCTTAAAGTAGTAAAACAAATCTGTCAAAATCTGTTGGTGTGCCTGGAGATGTGAATTCTTGGAAGCTGCCTGTGATGTACATAAGGCTAGACGGTGAGCCACACAATGTACATTTACCATATGTGGATTCTGACGTTGCATAATGGCTGCTGCACCTAAATCAAGAGGTTCAAAATAAAAAAAACATTACTGTTTAGCTTTACTGTGTATGATTGATTATCACATTTTAAAATTACTATCTGATTTCAAACAAAGTATAATATCTGCACTACAAATACAGTTAAATGAATAAAAGTGATTTACCATTTTGTTTCCCAGTCATTGCTGAGGCCCCATCTGATCCCATACTCATAATTTTCGAAGCTGGCACTCCTCTTTGTTTAAATTCATCAAGTAAAGATACAGCTATGCCTTTGCCTGTTGCATCTGTACATTCCATGTTGTTGACATAATGTGTAGAGGGTTTCATGTCATCAGAGATGAGTTGGGCATAAATAACTAGTCTTTTTGTATTTGAGATGTCAGTGCTTTCATCAGACATAACCGTCACCATTGGAGAAGCTGATAAACTTTCATTTAAATGTGTGTCAGCAACCTTTGATAAACTATCAAGTAATTCACTAGCAGAAAATTCCGATTCATAATTGATGTTGCAAAATGACTTCAAGATGGCAATGTTCTCAAGACTAAGTTCATTCAACAGATCGATCAATGATTTGAATTTAGACAGGGGTAGGTTTTCTGAAACCATCCAATTAACACATGTGAGTAAGGATTTAATAGCATCATCGTACTTTGTGGTGTGTTTTTTCTGACATTGATCCATGTTTTCTTTGAGACATGGTGCTAATATGGCAAGTTTGTGATCCGCCAAGTTTACATGCCTGGTCAATGTTGAATGCTGAAAATTTTTATTCTTAGCGACTTTGTTCATACCATTTACCTTTTTATGATCAGTGCATGCATTGCAATACATAAATTCATCACTATCGTCTTCATTCTCCAATCTTAACCAGGAATACATAGTGAGCCATTTTTTCTGGAACTTGCGAATCTTCCGAGTTTTCTCTGTTTCTCTATCGCCACTTTCATTTAGTTCAGCTTCTAAATCAGCGTCCCTTTCATCGTTAACCTCCTTGTTGTTATTAATGTCAGATTCACTGCCACTCTTCTCTTTTCTCAAAAACTCTGTTAATTTACCCTGGTTCGGGAGTAATTTTATCATTTTCTTCGGCGGCATCGTGATCAACTTTCTATCAATTTCCCCGCCGTAATGTCATATATCACTGAATCTCATTGGCTAATGCAATGAGTGTAGACCAATGAGATTTCGACTTTTGTAGTGTTTTTTTTTTTTCAATTCGGAACATTTCGGGTGTCTAGTTTGTAAATTTAGAAAGAACGACGTTCTGGAATTTCTTTCCGAGAAAATGAAAACAAAGGAATGTGTATGTGACTTTCTAAATTTATTGCGTCCTTTGGGATGCACATTGAATGAAATCATGCGTCCTGAGCAAAATTTGTGCGTATTTTACGCAGGACGCACGTCAAAATGAATCACTGGAATGTTAACCTGTACATGTAGTTCTCGTGAATATTTTATGAAATACCTTTTATGTGGATATCTAATATTTGAAGAAACTGTAAAATCTAAAATACGTATAAAGTAGGATACTGTTCCAAATACAGAATAATACGACACTGATTCTGAAAAATTCTAGTTATTATGAATTCTATTAAATATATGCATAAAAATATTAACGCATTCTAAATTAAGTCATAATGCATGTATATGAGGTAAGGCCATTCCAAGTCCTTTCTATGTTTAGCGTCCGCGTGCGCCTAGGTTTTTGACACCCAATATCAGAAAAAACAAACAAAATTAGGAGTCCTGAAATTGATTATTCTGGTCAAAATCTTTGAATTCAGTCATTTTCCCTAAATATTTGTCTACTGTATGTCTTCTTAGGTAAACTTTAAGCATTTAATATTCTGATTTTGCTTAAGAATAGATTTATAACTATGAGAAAAATAGATTAATGAAATCAAATCCTCTGATTGACCTCCCTTTTATGATTATCAATTCTTTGTGTTTTTTTTTTGTTGTTTTTTTTTGGGGGGGGGGTGTGTGTTTTTTTTTGCGAATAGGTAGGTAGGTTTTTAAAAGATTGTTGATTGATTGATTGTATGTTGTTTTACGTCCCATTCGAGAATTTTTCACTCATATAGAGACGTCACCATATACCGGTGAAGGGCTTCAAATTTTGACCTTTACTCGGCACTCAGGGCCATTGAGCAGTGAGGGATCTTTATCGTGCCAACGCCTGCCGTGACACGGGGCCTCGGCCGAAGGACCCGCAACTTTCACTTCAAAGTGCCGAGCGCATGGCGAAGGAACAGTTGCTACCCATTTTTTATCGACTTAGGTCAGTCGCGGCCGAGATTCGAACTCACGACCTCCCGATCACGAAGCGAGCGCTCTACCGACTGAGCTACCGTGAACGGTGGTTTTTAAAAGATTGGTAGACGCTAAACAGAGAAAAAATTTGGAATGGCCTAAATAAACAAGTCAATAATTGAGTCATCTAGTTCAGATCACAATTTTTGTTTTTTACTTAAATGGCAGGTAAACAAGTGTTCTACTTGATTGATGAGCCTGAGAACACAGGGAAGGGTGCTAATTCTGTCATAAGTATGGTTCACCACTTTTTTTCAACACCATGGATAAAGTAATTGCATTATATATATGTACATTTATTGATTTTCAAAAGTTTCTTATTATCAACGAGTTTTATTTACAAAACTGAATACAATGTAGTTTCTTATATGAAATATGGAGATAAATGAACAGTTAACTCTCATGGTGAAGTTTGGAGCGGTATTCTCCGTTTACAGTTTTTTTTCTTACGTAATCTTTAACATATGTAATAGGGAAAGTCGTCTGAGCCAAATCTGCCTGTATACAATTTATAAGCTCGTTAACCGCCTCTATCTCCTCATGGTGTGTTCCCGTTTTGCACACATTTGATAATTAGGTATAGAACAATAGGTGTGAAATATGTTTTGATAGCAATTATAGTCTGATCTTCCTCTGGGATTTACCTGGAATTACCTGACAGGTATTTCACCAATGCACCATAATATATATTTAAAAGAATAAAGTTTGAAAATTTAACTTGTGCAATCTAACTGAAGGTGATAAATCAGACAACTATCGTTATCGCAGTCCCTACCCCTTTTTTAATTTCATGAAGATAATTAATTAAATCTTAATGAAAAAAATTAACTTGCCCAGTTAGTATCATATGAATGTACATTGTAAATATAGTTTTGATTAGTATTTGTGATATTTTTTATGTTTCGAAATAGTTTTTTTTAATCAAAATAGAAAAAGAAATAATGCAAAATTAATAATTTTTCTGCGTATTCTTGTTTTAGATTTCTTTTTATCCAAATTCACAACTATGATATAGATTAATCAAATAAGTAATTATCTTACCTGGACAAATTCCCGTTTTGCACACATTTTTTCAATATCTGTAAAACGGGAACAAACCCTCCTCATGAAGTGGTTGGGATGATGGTTCTTCTGGTGTCTCGCAGCGTCTGTTAAGTGCCTCATATTTTGTAGCGTTATTCCTTCTGCAATAAACTAGAACTGTCCAAAAAGGACAAATACCCCCCCGCTGGGTTTTTCAGAGGTGCCAAATCACTGATATTTTATGGATCTAAGAGGTGTTCACAATTTTCTTATTAACATTTAGAGTGAAAAAATAATTGCTCATTATTTTTTTTAATGAATGAAACCAAGGAACAACCTAATAAAACATCCAATACCAATAGATTGTAATTAGTATACATTGTTTTTTTAATACATTGAAAAAATAAATTGCAACTATCTGTCATCTTTTTGAGACATGACATTCTGCAAATTGATTGTTGGAAAAAAAAAATCAATTAATTACAAAATCAAATTAATCTTGATAACTTTATATCAAATTCATTTTAAAAATTAAAGGCTGGTCATCCAGTAACTATGTACTATGACAGACAATAAATTACAATTAAGAGAATTAAAGAACAGAGATCTTTAAATTCCCAGGAGATACTGATAACACAAGCTTGATCAGAGATGCCCTAACAACTTCCCACACTGAATTCATTAATTTATCTTTAACTGGATGATGTCCACTCATTACTCCCAAGGGAAAAATGGATTTACACTATCTGCTGTGTAATCTAAAAACTGTTTTTAATACTTGTTTTTTTTTTTTTTGTTTGTTTTGTTTAAATGAATAGTTTTAAGCTGTAGTTTACATTTTTGTACAGATGTTGTAGATTCTATGTCTCAAACTTTGGAAATAAACCCAAAATGACTAAGTCAATAAAAATGAAAAAAAAAAACCCTGTAAAATGCAGAAAAATTATTAAATAATGTTGAAAATACCAGGTGCACATCTTCATATGGTAAATAATGAGTGTACAAATTTTCATACAATTCTATGAAATAGTCCTTGAGAAAAGGTCAGGACAAAACCACATAATAATCAAAGTACTGAAAGTACTGGAAAGCGCTAATCAATGTTTGCAAATTTGAAACTCATTAAATTTATTCTGAATTTAAATTGCCTGTTGTATTGGAATAAGTAATATGTTGACAGTGCAACCGCCGGGGCGAGTACAACTGTTTGATACATATTCACTTTAAAATAAAACTTGTATCTGCCTATTTAAAGGTGCTTAGACACAGATTTGAAGTTAATGTTTACTCAAATTTTCTGTATAATTTCATGACTTATTTGTTGCTATAGCTTTTCATATGAAAATTTGATAAAAATCTTATTTTATCTGGAAGTTATTGAAACTTCGAATTTCTGGACGCGTTTGATAGACACATCCTTGCACTTTCACAAATTTTAACTTTATCCTTATTACTTTAGAAAAGTAGCAATTTTGTTGTTTATTAATGAAAAATATTAAAAACTATAATGCAGAAATTTCAGAGTAGAAATGTAGAAAGCAAAATCCTCTCACCAGTATTGTCAGTCCGTGCTCAGTGGTGTGTGCAGAGTTTAACAATTGAACACACCCGGTGAAACGTAAACATTAACAACAACAGAGCTCGTGCCCGTTTACGAAAACAGTTTACGTTTCACGGGTGTATTAAATTTGTTAAACTCTGTACACAACTACACAACACTGAGCACGGGCTGACAATACTTAAGTGAGTGGGTTTTGCTTTCGCATATTTTTACTCTGAATTTCCTGGATTATAGATGTAATATTATTCATTAATACACAACAAAATTGCTATTTTTCTAAGTATTAAGTATAAAGTTAAAAATTGTGAAAGTGCAAGGATGTGGCTATCAAACTCCTCCCGAAATTCGTAGTTTCAATAATTTCCAGATAAAATAAGTTTTTAATTTTATTTTCGTGTGAAATGCTATAGCAACATATTAGTTGTGATATTATACAGAAAATTTGAGAAAATATAAAGTTCAGGTCTGTTTCTATGCACCTTTAAAACGCACGAGGATAGATTTGAAGGTTCGAGTCTGTGACATCACATGACGTCGTTATACGTCGTTATTTAATTAAGAGAGTGAAATTTATCAAACAATTTCATTAAAGCAAGTTATTTGTTTTTGTTGTTTTTGTTGTTGTTGTTTTTTTGTTTTTTTTTGAAGTTTACTTTGTTTATCACACGAAAGAGCAATACCGCAGTTATGGGAAAAAAGTTTATTTGTGTTAAATTGCATTCCCGGAAGTTATTATGGAAAAACGTTCATTTGGAGCAATGTGCACAATCGAATTTACTCTTCGCCCCGGAGTTCCTTTCAGAGCTAGTTTGCAATTATGTGCAGCACTCGCTTCGAATTTTCTTTTTCTTTTACATAATTAAAATTATGCATATTTATCCTTACGTCGCAGGTTCGAATCCACTGTGGAACGTGTAGACGGGTCCTTTGGAACCGAGGTTCCGTGTCGCAGTGGGCGCTGGCACGTAAAAGATCCCTCACTGTTCAAAGGCCGTAAGTGCCGAGCATGGGTCTAAATTTGCAACCCTCTACAGCCAAGTGGTGAAGTCTCAATATGACTGAAACATTCTCGAAAGGACGTTACACACACACACAAAAACCAAGTTTATGGAAAACTCAAGTTCACCAATCCTAATTTGCTTAACTTCAAATTAAAATGGCTTAGCCACAACACTTCGTAACGGTAAAGGTTCGACAC